AATTGCCCGAAATATGTGATGGTACCCCTTTGGAATCTGCCAAAAATGGGCTCGGTATAAATTCGCCCAAATCGGCACTTAATGGACTTAATCATCGTTGAAGAATAGCCTCAGCCCGAATCCGTGATCTGTAGCCTTCAAAATCCAAAGAAAATGTCCATTCGTCGCCAAAAAAATTACGCAAATGCCATCTGAAAATAAATTGGCGCAATTCGGTGCTTAATGGACTTATCATCTGTGAAGAATAGTATCAATAGACTTCATTATCGGTGGATATAGGCTCGGCCTGATTCTGTGATCTACAGCCTCCAGAATCGAAAGAAAATGGCATTTCGAAAAAATTGCCAGAAATATGTGATGGTACCCCTTTGGAATCTGCAAAAAATGAGCCCGGAATAAATTCGCCCAAATCGGTGCTTAATGGACTTATCATCCGTGAAGAATAGTATCAATAGACTTCATTATCGGTGGATATAGGCTCGGCATGATTCCGTGATCTGCAGCCTCCAGAATCGAAAGAAAATGACATTTCGGAAAAATTGCCCGAAATATGTGATGGTACCCCTTTGGAATCTGCCAAAAATGGGCTCGGTATAAATTCGCCCAAATCGGCACTTAATGGACTTAATCATCGTTGAAGAATAGCCTCAGTCCGAATCCGTGATCTGTAGCCTTCAAAATCCAAAGAAAATGTCCATTCGTCGCCAAAAAAATTACGCAAATGCCATCTGAAAATAAATTGGCGCAATTCGGTGCTTAATGGACTTATCATCTGTGAAGAATAGTATCAATAGACTTCATTATCGGTGGATATAGGCTCGGCCTGATTTCGTGGTTTGCAGCCTCCAGAATCGAAAGAAAATGGCATTTCGAAAAAATTGCCCGAAATATGTGATGGTACCCATTTCGAATCTGCCAAAAATGAGCCCGGAATAAATTCGCCCAAATCGACACTTAATGGACTTAATCATCGTTGAAGAATAGCCTCAGCCCGAATCCGTGATCTGGAGCCTTCAGAATTCAAAGAAAATGTACTTTCGTCCCCAAAAAAATTACGAAAATGCCATCCGAAAATAAATTGCCGCAACTCGGTGCTTAATGGACTTATCATCCGTGAAGAATAGTATCAATAGACTTCATTATCGGTGGATATAGGCTCGGCTTGATTCCGTGATCTGCAGCCTCCAGAATCAAAAAGAAATGGCATTTCGGAAAAATTGCCCGAAATCTGTGATGGTACCCCTTTGGAATCTGCCAAAAATGGGTCGGGAAAAAATTCGCCCAAATCGGCGCTTAATGGACTTAATCATCTTTGAAGAATAGCCTCTGGCCGAATCCGTGATCTGTAGCCTTCAAAATCCAAAGAAAATGGTCTTTCGTCGCCAAAAAAATTACAAAAATGCCATCAAAAAATAAATTGGCCCAAATCGGTGCTTAATGGACTTATCATCCGTGGAGAATAGTATCAATAGACTTCATTATAGGTGGATATAAGCTCGGCCTGATTCCGTGATCTGTAGCCTCCAGAATCGAAACGAAATGGCATTTCAGATAAATTGCCCGAAATTTGTGATGGTACCCCTTTGGAATCTGCCAAAAATTGCCCCGGAATAAATTCGCCCAAATCGGCACTTAATGGAAATAATCATCGTTGAAGAATAGCCTCATGCCGAATCCGTGATCTGTAGCCTTCAAAATTTAAAGAAAATGGTCTTTCGTCGCCAAAAAAATTACAAAAATGCCATCAAAAAATAAATTGGCCCAAATCGGTGCTTAATGGACTTATCATCCGTGGAGAATAGTATTAATAGACTTCATTATAGGTGGATATAGGCTCGGCCTGATTCAGTGATCTGCAGCTTCCAGAATCGAAACGAAATGGCATTTCAGATAAATTGCCCGAAATTTGTGATGGTACCCCTTTGGAATCTGCCAAAAATGGCCCCGGAATAAATTCGCCCAAATTGGCACTTAATGGAAATAATCATCGTTGAAGAATAGCCTCATGCCGAATCCGTGATCTGTAGCCTTCAAAATCCAAAGAAAATGGCCTTTCGTCGCCAAAAAAATTACTAAAATGCCATCCGAAAATAAATTGGTCCAAATCGGTGCTTAATGGACTTATCATCCATGGAGAATAGTATCAATAGACTTCATTATCGGTGGATATAGGCTCGGCCTGATTCCGTGATCTACAGCCTCCAGAATCGAAAGAAAATGGCATTTCGGAAAAATTGCCCGAAATCTGTGATGGTACCCCTTTGGAATCTGCCAAAAATGGGCCCGGAAAAAATTCGCCCAAATCGGCGCTTAATGGATTTAATCATCTTTGAAGAATAGCCTCAATCCGAATCCATGATCTGTAGCCTTCAAAATCCAAAGAAAATGGTCTTTCGTCGCCAAAAAAATTACGAAAAGACCATCAAAAAATAAATTGGCCCAAATTGGTGCTTATTGGACTTATCATCCGTGGAGAATAGTATCAATAGACTTCATTATAGGTGGATATAGGTTCGGCCTGATTCTGTGATCTGCAGCCTCCAGAATCGAAACGAAATGGCATTTCAGATAAATTGCCCGAAATCTGTGATGGTACCCCTTTGGAATCTGCCAAAAATGGCCCCGGAATAAATTCGCCCAAATCGGCACTTAATGGAAATAATCATCGTTGAAGAATAGCCTCATGCCGAATCCGTGATCTGTAGCCTTCAAAATCTAAAGAAAACGGCCTTTCGTCGCCAAAAAAATTACTAAAATGACATCCGAAAATAAATTGGTCCAAATCGGTGCTTAATGGACTTATCATCCGTGGAGAATAGTATCAATAGACTTCATTATCGGTGGATATAGGCTCGGCCTGATTCCGTGATCTACAGCCTCCAGAATCGAAAGAAAATGGCATTTCGGAAAAATTGCCCGAAATCTGTGATGGTACCCCTTTGTAATCTGCCAAAAATGGGCCCGGAAAAAATTCGCCCAAATCGGCGCTTAATGGACTTAATCATCTTTGAAGAATAGCCTCAGGCCGAATCCGTGATCTGTAGCCTTCAAAATCCAAAGAAAATGGCATTTCGTCGCCAAAAAAATATGAAAATGCCATCCGAAAATAAATTGGCCCAAATCGGTGCTTAATGGACTTATCATCTATGGAGAATAGTATCAATATACTTCATTATCGGTGGATATAGGCGCGGCCTGATTTCGTGGTCTGCAGCCTCTAGAATCGGAAAAAATGGCATTTCGGAAAAATTGCCCGAAATCTATGATGGTACCACTTTGGAATCAGCAAAAAATGGGCCTGGAATAAATTCCCCCAAATCGGCACTTAATGGACTTAATCATCGTTGAAGAATAGCCTCAGGCCGAATCCATGATCTGTAGCCTTCAAAATCGAAAGAAAATGGCCTTTCGTCGCCAAAAAAATTACTAAAATGTCATCCGAAAATAAATTGGCTCAAATCGGTGCTTAATGGACTTATCATCCGTGGAGAATAGCATCAATAGACTTCATTATCGGTGGATATAGGCTCGGACTAATTCCGTGATCTGCAGCCTCCAGAATCGAAAGAAAATGTCATTTCGGAAAAATTGCCCGAAATCTGTGATGGTACCCCTTTGGAATCTGCCAAAAATGGGCCCGGTATAAATTCGTCGAAATCGGCACTTAATGGACTTAATCATCGTTGAAGAATATCCTCAGGCCGAATCTGTGATCTGTAACCTTCAAAATCCAAAAAAATGGCCTTTCGTCGCCAAAAAAATTACGAAAATGCCATCCGAAATTAAATTATCCCAAATCGGTGCTTAATGGACTTATCATCCTTGGAGAATAGTATCAATAGACTTCATTATCGGTGGATATAGGCTCGGCCTGATTCTGTGATATGCAGCCTTCATAATCGAAATAAAATGGCATTTCGGAAAAATTGCCCGAAATCTGTGATGGCACCCCTTTGGAATCTGCAAAAAATGGGCCCGAAATACATTCGCCCAAATATGCACTTAATGGACTTAATCATCGTTCAAGAATGGCCTCAGACCGAATCCGTGATATGTAGCCTTCAAAATACACAGAAAATGGCCTATCGTCGCCAAAAAATTACGAAAATGTCATTCGAAAATAAATTCGCCCAAATCGGCACTTAATGGACTTAATCATTGTTGAAGAATAGCCTCATGCCGAATCCGTGATCTGTAGCCTTCAAAATCCAAAGAAAATGGCCTTTCGTCGCCAAAAAAATTACAAAAATGCCATCTGAAAATAAATTGGCTCAAATCGTTGCTTAATGGACTTATCATCCGTGGAGAATAGTATCAATTGATGATAGTAGAAGATTAAAATCCCAAAAAAAAACCATTATTATTCTTTAGTCCAATGATAAAGCAAAAGAAGTAGTGAGAGTCACCATTTCCTAAATTTTCAAATTGACGATTGTCGAAATATGAATTTGCTATTGGAATTTGCCGCCTTTTGAAGTCTTGTGGTTGATGATTTCATGAACTTGCTATAAATCATAAGAAAATTAAAACTATATATTGTGATTCGCTATTCATCTTAAAAAGCCTCGTGGCTAGAATAACTATAACTTTCTATAAAATGTCCATCTCCAAACTCAAATTAACAATATGGTTATTATATAACTATGAACTAAAATCTGAAAGAAAGAAGGATAGTAAGGTAACATACATTTCAAAGCTATAAATCCATACCCAAAATCCAATGATCAAATCAACTATACAAACAATACACTCTTTCAACTCCATGATTCACTGAATCTCCAACAAATCCAGAAGTTTTCAAAGCCTAAATTGTGACCAAAACCCTTGCACCAAAAAGAACAAAGTGTATACTAGTCTCTGTCACCTTGATTTGCAGCGAATTCCAAACATGAGCAACCAAATAAAAGCAACTGGTAAAAGCCAGAACGGAGGCTAAAGTTAACTAATTATTAGCATGAATGAAGATAAAACTCTCTACGTAACAACAAAAATTAAAAAACAAAACAACGGTCAGATATCCAATCCCGCACAAGAGCTAGGATTTATAGAGGCAAAAGAAATAAGTCTTCACCAACATATGGCTCTCCCCCAATTCAGCTTTCATCAATAGCTTTGACTATGTACACACTGTAACCGCATCCCAGACATATTTGTCATAGTTACCTCAATCTCACAGCCCAAAGAAAAGTAATCACCATTGCAGCAGTTAGAGAGTCATTTGGTTATTCCCGAAAAAAGCTCGAGCTGAGAGCAACCGAACATATCAAGACGACTGTGTTCTGTGGCTAATCTGCGGTGTAAAGAGAGTAAATATCCATGGGAGCATATGTGCAGCCGATGGCGTTCTTCTTCAATCTGCCATTTGGAAAAGACCTTCTGTGTCGATCAAGATATATCACGATCACAGTGATATCATCGTGAATGTGCCGCCTTACACCCTTCCTTACATTCTTTATGTCATCGTATCTCAACTCTTTCTTCCTTGCTGCTTCATTGAGGGCAGCTCTCACCAGTCGCTTTGCAATTCCCTGCAATTCAACCCCAGCTCACACAGGTTAAGACAAACTACACTATAGGCTATAGCCACAAGATTTTCTTACAGCGGCAATGGAACTCTCTGGTTGAAAGATATGGGGGGAACTCACGGCTCTGGGATTATTTAACACAATCTCTACTGCTTCTTCGTCAGTCAATTGTTCCCAAAGACCGTCTGAAGCAAATATGAGGAATTGATCTTCTGGCATCAGCTTCCTTATTAGAACTGAAGGTTCTGCTGTCACCACAGCCCGTTTCAAGGGGACAGGATTGCCGAATTGCTGGAAGAAAGGATCTAGATTGACCTCAGGCTTCTTTAGATATATGTCCCCGATAGATCTTGATACCTGTAAGGTAATAACAAACACATGGAAATTCAGAGCAATGTTATTAATGCAGTAGTAAGTAAAGGCTCTACTAAACTGTGAGACGCTAAGCAAAACAGTCAAAAGTCACCATAGAAGAAGCAAGTATTTCCTGATATGCAAGAAATAGGGGGGGAAACTAGCCTTCCTGTAATTAAACAAGGATTATTGTGTTCAGGGGGGCCGCCCATCATGTTCATCTCATGCATGGAAGTCAAAAAACTGCTTAACTTTGTAGCATGAGACGTTGGCCAGGACGAGGCGTTGCACCAGAATCCTGGAAGAGCAAGCATAGGATGACCACCCTTATTAGAACACATCTTTTAACTACAGAGAAAACCGAACCAGCCGACATAAGTTCAAGATACACACACAACAGGCTTATCTTGGAAGTTCAGACTCGGTCAGAGGAAGGATGAAACATTTACCATTTTACTCTAAATCACCTGAAACCGTAACTGCAGTACCACACTAATAACAGCCAATTTTCACCAAAAACGAAATTCCCAACAGACAGGTTTCTAGTGAAACTCAAAAAGGGAGCCAAATTGTAGCAAGCACCTGAATTATGCCCTTTATCCTCCAACAACCACGAGCAAACATGACAATCTGGGAATCATCAGGATGAAGTGCCTCAACCTCTTTCCTAACTTCCTCAACTTTAACATTGTGGTCTGTTGATAGTCTTTCTGCAATCACCGATTTTCTCTTATCTTGATTCGCCTTTCTGCCAAGCACTGCCCTCGAGTCCCCGAGGTTAGCTACGTATAACACCTCGTTGGATATGGCACCAACCAGACAGCAAGAACCTACAGAAGCAATTTGAGGCTTCACTTGGAGTGATCGCTTCACTAAATGCCAGAATTCCTCTTCAGTTGCATTGAATGCCTTCTTTATCACATCAACAGACAAACCCCCTTGCTCACTCGCGAATTCTTCAATGAACAGAAAACAAAAAAAAAAAAACAGATTAATTAGGGAAGGAACAATCAAATAGTCAAGCCTTCAAAGGAAGCTAAATAACCTGCTAGAAAAGCAGAATTCTAGATGCCCAACTGTATGCCATATCGTAAGGAATATGGATAAAGACATTCTACTGTGGAAGTCCAACTTGCACAAGAAGGATGAGGAGAACGAAACCAGCAAACTGAATAGCTCATCCATGGTACTGTTTAAGAAGGAATACGAAAGTAGACCAACGCCGGGATAACATAAACAAACACAACACAATTGAGAGAACGGGAAGTAGAATGAGAATCAAAACGAGGAACTAGCCGCAGTCTCAAAACCCTAAAAGCAGGGCGAAGAAGTTTGAGGTGAGAAATTAGGGCTGACGAGAGAATTTACTGTGCATGAAAGGGAAGAGGTGCTTGTTGACAAATCTAGAAGCTTCCGGGCCACCATGTCCGTCGTAAATCCCAACATAAGTCGCCGACGGAGACGTGTAAACCTGACTCTGATCCTCCATGTTCGAATTCGCCTGGACGGCCGCGATCGAATAGTCGCCCGAGGCGTGCGGCTTCAAATCCGAGTGCCACAACAGCCCATCGCTACCACCACCGCCGCCGCGTCGGGCGAAGCATCTCTCCAACGGCCGGCAGCAAGAGCGCAGCATCATCGTATATCCCTCTGCGACCACCACTGTCTCTCACCCGCTCCGTTTCGTCGTTCTCTGATCGGCCTTTTTTTTTTTTTTTGTTCACGGCCACTCTGTTCCCGACCTTCCCCTGTTTCGTCTGCTCTGTTTCTGGTTCGCTCGCTCCTCCGGCGCCGCCGCTGCTAAGGATTCCGACGAGAATTTAAGGATAAGGAGGCTGATGCTCGATTAGGTCTGGATCGACAGAGGGGAAAGAAAGGGGAATTAAAAGGGGAGAGAAAAGTTTAGCGTGTGAGGAAAAAGGAAGAAAGGAAAAAGAAGAGGGAAAGCAATACAAATAAAGAGGGAAAGAAAAGATGCCGCGTGAGAAGAGAAGCCAAGCGACTCGCGAGTCGCGCCGCGGCCGGGTCGAACGTAAACGTGAATCCAGGGGCCGAGGCTGGCTTTCCCTTTCTCCGTTCTCACTTACTTCCCGTTTATACTTAACGCGTTACTTTACCTAATTATTAATAATATAAAATTAATGGGTAAATACAATTTAATATCCAAACCTTTCATTTTAAACAATATAATAGCCAAACCTTTTCGAAAACAATCTAATATCCCAATCGTCAACTTTCCGTCCGTTTGACCGTTGATTGACACTTTAAAAAAACTTTGTTTAGGGAAAATTGTCACAATACAACTTTGTTTTCTTGTTTTGGCATTGCAGATGACTGGATATTTAGATATTCTATATCATCATGGTGGAGTCATGGACTTCTCGAGTTTGGAAACATGATATGTTGGTGGTTTTTCAGAGAAGATAGGATATTGATAAAGCGTCGTACTTCGAACTTTTTTGAAGTGTCAACTAACGGTCAAACGAACGGAAAGTTGACGATTTGGATATTAGATTGTTTTCGGAAAGGTTTGGCTATTATACTGTTTAAAATGAAATGTTTGGATATTAAATTGTATTTACCCTAAAATTAATAATTTCCCCCCATTTTCTTTGGTTTTCCGACTCGCCGTAACAAACAGCAATTCAGTGCATAGAGTACGGTCCGGATCGGATCCGATCGGACCAGATATACGGTTTGTGATTCAGATTGAGAGGATGGAACACAGATCATGACCCATATCAGATCATGATTGTGAGGTGTAGTTAGGTACCGTGTGGATCAAGCAGATAAAGTTAAAAAATATTCACTCAAATTCCGTCCTCCAACCCTCCTCAGTATCTATAAAAATAAAATTTTCAGTGACCAACATTCTAGTGAAATAAAAAAAAAAGTTATCGTAGTTAAAATGGGAAGAAATATATGAGGGGAGAAGTGGACTTTTTCAATTTTCAAACTCTCTCCACAGTCTTTACGGATCTAACCAGTATCCATTAAAAAAACACACATCAAATAGCCTTATTTTCCTATTCATCTTTGTGCTACCACCTTCGTGACGACGTTGAGATAATTTTGAACTACTAAGATGGTTGCTTATCTCTCAATAATTTTCTTTATCTCATCAAAGTGAATGGATATTATTTATTAATTTGTATTGGTTTTATGTGGCTCTTTGATAAGGAGATAACGCATAAGAGATCAACTAGATGAATAATCAACTAACTTTGTTCTCCAAATATAGAAATGGGAGGTTTAATTTAGTGTTATTTTGGTATGAGTTAGTAGGTAGTGTGTCGCGCTCTATTGCGATTACTGCGGTAGACCGCAGTTCAGACCACACACTAATGAATGGGACCATAAACCAGACCAAAGCAAAACCTAAACCTGCCCGATTATATACATGTATATGTATTTTTTCTATAAATAATCATTATTTTTCTCAACATATTTTATATTGAGTATACAAATATAATTATTTTCATGAAATTGCGTCGTTTGAAATTAATTTTCTTCATTCTAGTGAATTATTGTCGTACTTTTGCACTTATTAATGTGAGTTTAGGTGTAAATGTTAACATTTTGGTTAGAATTATAAAGAGAAAATTATTACCCATAGATAACTCTGGATACCCAAAACTCAAACGGATATGGGCACGGTTTTGATTTTTTACTCGATTTTCATGTGATTACAAGTATAAGTAAAATCCGAATTACTTCGGATAGGGTAACGAATATGCACTATCTTCCTGCGACCCCATTGTCATCACTAATTTTAACTACCGCTTCATACGATTAGTCTTCCAACCAGTTTTTATTCGATACTTATTGAATCCGGTTATACGACCGACATACAAATGGTTTGGCAAGCTGTAAGTAGGGGTGGGCATTCGATCGGTTCAATTTCGACCGAATCGAAATTATGAATACCGGGTCCCCGAATTACCTCAAACCAAATTTGAACCGAATTATAATTCAGTTTGGTCGGTCTAAACCGAATTATAATTCAGTTTGGTTCGGAATTTCATACAAAACCGAATTTGTGAGGTTACTTGTATTTTCTCTCTTTTAAATTATTTTCACCCAAAATATAAATAATAAATATACAATTATATGCATCATTAATGATAAAATCAAATATTTCAACACATAAAGTCATAAAACACTAACATATTTCAAATATTTAAGTTCAAAAACAACTACAACCATAAAAACCCACCATTTGGAACTTGCAAATATAGTAATTCGGTTTTCCGGTCAGAATTTCGGTTCGGTTGAAAGAACTCTGATTTTAAAAATATTTATATCTTCCTTCCGAATTCCGAACCGAATAGCATTATTTTGGTTTTGATTCGGTATAATTCGGTTTCGATTCGGTTTGGTTCGAGTTTATCGAACCGGTTGTCCACCCCTAGCTGTAGGTACCGGTATTTGGGATATACCGAATACCGTACCGAATTTGTCTATATTTGGTATTACCGAATACACGTATTATTTTTTGGGATTGAGATTGGGATTGAATTTCAATTGTTATTCGGTATTAGGGATTACGGGATTGGGATCGGGATATACCGAAATACCGATCAATACCGAAATATAAGCTAGTTTGTATTTTATCCTCTCAACTAGAATCTCTCATTTACTACTAAATGACCCTCAACCACCAAAAGTGTCATTTAATTATACACAGATCATTCCATCATTATTAATAGTCGTCTCTCAACCTCTAATTCGTCAAATTAAAGATTATCAATAACAAGAACTTGAGATGTCTCCTCTCCTCCACTCTCCATAATAATATCTTAATTCAAAACTCTTTGCTTAGTCTTTTTCCCGTAAATTAAACAATAAAATCTAATTTATATATTTAATTATTAATTGCAAAGGTAATTAATTTCGTATTTGATAATACCGATTGGGATACCGAGGTACCGATTGGGATACCGAAATATTTAGGAATTGGGATTGGGATGCCGAAATTATTTAGGGATTGGGATTGGGATTGACTTTAGGGTGTATTTCGGTATTCGGTATTTTGGGATGCCGATTTCCACCCCTAGCTGTAGGGGTGAGCAATTGGTTGTTTTATGCTGATTTGGGTGGTTTGGAACCACCCACTATGTGGTGGGTTGAGGAGAAAATAACCCACACCCACCCAAGCATTACATGTGGGTGGATTGGGTTGGGTGAATGCGGATGATGGGTGGTTGGGTGGATTCGGTGGGTTTACAACATATATTTCATATGATTCGCATAATTTCAATAGTTTTAAACTTAAAGTGAAAACAATTTCAAACTAAACAACGCTTAATTCATAAATTAGGTGACTCATTTATTTTACAATACTGGTATTGATAATTATCCATAAATTACAAAATATTCAACCGATAAACCTGGTCTAAGCCTGTTAATAATCAAGGTTCAATAAGGCGCTAGGCATAAGGCAAACATTTTGGTCTTGCCTACCGCCTCATTCGCCTACAATTCCAAATTGATGGAAGGAATGAAGGATGAATTGGTAACAGCTTGAGATGGTGTCATTTTGGGTAGAAAATTCTCTTTTTTTTTTCTTCCTGTAATTTGTCTGCTAGTTATGCTTAAGCACGCCTCCAATTGTCTAAGCTCACTTCACCTAACAATTTTTTAGTCGAAATTAGAAGGAATTTTTTGTAATTTTAAGGGTTTTATTTTCAGTAAACCTAATTACCGTTGCGGGTGGTTTTGGATGAATTTATGGGTTCAACCACCCAACACTCACCCCTAACAAGCTGGGACCCGGTCAAACTGAGTTAACAATATTGTTGACCAGTCATCTCTGTGTTCCCCACTCCGTCTACCTTCTTCTCCAAGAACTAGAACGCCCTACCACCGCCTGACACACAAATCCCCGGCCAGTAAAAAAAACCCCACACAACACCGCCGCCGCCAACAACTACACGGCGGCGCTTTCCTTCAAAATGAGCGGAACCTTCATGACCAAATCCAGCGTCCTCCGCGTCCTGCGCGCCAACACGATCACCCACATCACCGACCCAACCGCGGCGGCGGCGGCGACCACAGCCCATGGCCTTTTGAGGAACCAAACGAAAAGTTTGCAGCCCAGAGCTCATTACCACCTGGGCTTCCCTTCTCATCTCTTCAGGAAATCCAGAGAGTGCGTCAATGACATCTCTCCTTCCCTCTTCTCTTCAGCCTTTTCTTCGTCCTCTTCTTCTACGTCTACTGCTCCGCTGGCGAGTAGGATCCCGTTTGTTTCGTGGTACCTGGACATGGTGAAATCCCGTCCTATATTGACCAAGAGCGTCACAGCCTCGTTTGTTTACGCTGCAGCTGACCTATCTTCTCAGGTAAATTCTTCGAATTCGAAACTTGGGTCTTTTCCAGTTTTGTGTATTTTGTTCTTTGGACGCAGACATTTGTGGTATACTTAAAATCTCTGAAGGTGTCAAAATCTACCATCAATCTAGCCCTTGTTCTTCTGTTCCCAAATCTGCACTACTTTCGAATATTGGTTAATTTAGGGTTGAGGGTAATTGATACACATATGCCGCCTTGTGTTTGTACTTCAAAACAGACATTGTCAAAGACGAGCTCTGAATCATATGACCTGGTGCGGACATCGCGCATGGCTGGATACGGCCTGCTAATTCTGGGGCCATCGCTTCATTTCTGGTTCAACTTCGTCTCGAGGATGTTCCCAAAGCGAGATGTCATGGCAACGTTGAAGAAAATGGCCATGGGACAGGCCATTTATGGACCCATTATGACTGTTGTTTTCTTCACCACGAATGCACGATTACAGGGTAAGTGTGGGGTATATATATAACCCTTGCTTCTTGTTTTTTCTTCTCTCTTTTGGGGTTGATACTATGTTGATGGATGCCGTAGGATTAAAAGCATTCGAATTTTCCATGTCAATTGACACGGTTGTCTCAGGTGAGAGTGGTCCTGAGATAATGGCCCGCCTGAAGAGAGATGTAATCCCCACAATGATCAATGGTGCCATGTACTGGCCCTTATGTGATTTTGTTACATTCAAGTTCGTCCCTGTCCATCTCCAGGTAAATTACATCCATTCCCGATTCCCTTTTGATTTCATCTCATGATCATTCAGCTGGTCTCAGTGTTCTTCACAAAAATGATGATGATGCTGTTATTTTCTTTTGATTTGTGAAGCCATTGGTGAGCAATTCATTCTCCTACTTGTGGACTGTCTATATGACGTACATGGCGAGTAAAGAAAAAGTGGCTGCGCCTGCTCCAGCGAGTTAGCAGCTCAAAGCTCCGAGTGGTGTATTCTGCAGCTCTACCTTGGCTGATTCGAGTACCAGGAACCCTGATTCAACCGTGAATAGAGTGTGATTCATCCTATTCCTATGGCTTGCGTCGGGGTTGATCGAGCAGCAGATGCTGCCTTCGGTTGCATTGATTTGAGTTTCTGTTTAGAGGGTTTTTGTGCAACTCGATGAATAGATTAGCATGTCAGTGAAGAGGTCAATGTTTAGTGTTGTTGAAGCAGGGACCTTATGTTCTTCCTAACTTTGTAATGGAATTTGTCCACCCCAAATTTATGAGGGTTCGCTTATGGAACTACGACCCATCCAATTTTCTTCAAGTATCTATAATCATCTATACTATGAAGAATCTATTGATTCCAATTCGCTGTGGAAGGAGAAATTTTAGATCCCTGCTTCCAGTATTTCATATTATGTGGGGAGTATCATACTAAAGAGCTGACAGCTGATTAACAAAAGGCACTGTTTTATTTCAATGATAATGTTATTACATTGCTACAAGATGATGATAAGAAAATCAGGACAGAAGCTAGTTGAGGAAGAATGTTCCTAAACTTCCCAACGATGTAGAAACTCCCTAAACTGTACTAGTATAACATGTTTTTCCTTCACTGGTCATCACTCATCAGTACTCGTAATATTATTAAAAACATGTCGCCTCTTATCAGCAAATACAGCAGGCATCCAACTCATTCCCCTCAGCCAAACCTCGCAAGAATTCCCGCACAAGTCAACAGCAAAACTCAGTAAACCAATCGACTGCTATAAATGAGTCCTTACCAGTGTCATGCGTTGTATTCACTGATTCCCAATCAATCAGTAGTTATTTTGCCTAATGATGTTGCTTGAACTCATCAATCACCACTCCTCAGAAGCACGCAAGGTAACTTTCTCCAGCTGCACAGCCCAATCAGCTCCAAACATTTGGGGGTTTGACTCTGCCGATATCCGGAAGTCCAGCATTGACCCAGAACGAGATACCCCCTCTGAACCTTGCATCGTGAAGCGGCTACTTCTTGCTGCGTCATGCAAGAAGCTGCCACTTCTAGACCTTGAGCAAGCTGCTAAACCCAGACAAGGCTCAACCAGCCTCTTCAAATATGCATCCAATGCATTATTCAACAGGTTAACACAATCCAATGACACATGCATACCCTCTGCCTGCAACTTCTGCTGCAAACGGTTCCTTAATAATCTTGTATCAGGTAGCTCACCACTGTTCTGACACGTCCCGTGATGAAGGTTGGTAGTAGCCCTACCACATAGAGACAAGTTTGATAAAGCTTTACGACCCAAATTCATCGATATTCCAAAAGGAGCAGTAACAGGACATCTACTCTGAACACCGGGACTTCCAGCAAATTGTTCAACCTCTTCCCCTTCTTCCACTGATGCAACGTCCACAGGTGGCGGTCTACTACCAAGAGAAAGCAACTCCGTAGCACTTTGTTGTTGTTCCTGTGCCCTTGAAATCAACTCATCACTTAATAGCACATTCTGGGGCTTGCTGCTAAGTGGCCCAAGCGGACTAGGACGGTCCTTAAACTTGCGGTTAATAGGGGACCTGCCCTTTCGTGTGGATGGAGAAAACGCTGCTTCCCCATAGAGCGACTGGAGGCTACTTCTATCCAAGACTTTAACATTTGGGGTTGTGGGTACTCTTTTTATACTTCCAAGTGGCGGAGGAACCTTTCCGAGGCTAGCATTCTTGATAATCGATCTAATGAGCTGGTTGTGGAGGGGGATATTTTCTCTGCCGACGATCCTAGCACAAGATTTATCGAACTCCGATTTGGTGGTCTTCAAACTAATCAATCTTGTGAGCTGGTCAAAGTACTTGTCAGCTCTATGATGCCCAATCCTTTTAGTAAGTAGAGCCTTGATCTCCAAAGTATCAACCCGCTTGTAGCTTTGCTTGGATGACATTGCAGAAGAAGAGTCAAACCACCTCAATTCTTTGCTCTTCTACCAAGGAATAGCCACCATATCACAGAATCCAAAACATCCACAACCCTAGCTCCTCCAAAACTTACCCAATCTGCAAAGTAGCAAGCAATGAATCTCAACTTAGAGCAGATCATTAATTTAACCAGATCCTAATGAAGAAAAGAACTCAAAAAACAAAGTTTGCAGCTCGAAACACAACTCCTGGGGTTATCAGGAACTGAAAGATCCAAGTGGATAAGGAGCAATGAAAGGAAAGCATTCAAGGAAGTTCACGGTAACTCACGAATTCTGGGAAAAGAAGAAACAACATCATTGAAAATGTAGCAAAGTAAAGCGGAAAGTTCATTCGAACCTGAATTGTGCAGAATGCAAGTAAAAATTAGAGAGCCGGAGAGCTGAGTTCGAAGCTAGATGCAGTTAAAGAGCTGAATTCAAAGATGGCAGAGAAGAGAGCGAGAGAGAGAGAGAGAGAGAATTGAGCTTTCGTACCAAATGGATAATTTGGGGGAATAGGGTTTCCGCTCTCCCTTCCGACCTGCTTGGCGCTTTCTTTTTTGTGTCTCCGGTGATCGACCGACGCGACGACTGGATGTCTTTGCCTGTGGTCGTTTGTCGGACCAGTCTACGCAGAAACTTGGACCAACTATTGAAAGGGCGCTGAGTTCCGTCATATTGGATTATGGGCCTTTCTTTGCTCTTGTAGCAATATAGGCCCAGTTCAAGTTTTTACCGATTTTCAGTTTAATCTATTTGTTTATTTATTTAAATCAGCTGTTTCCCCCCCTTCTTTTTGCTAAAGGTCATTTAAGTGATTAGATCTCAATCTATTGGTTTAGATTCGACCAATAATAAATGTACGGATAAGATAGATTACATACGGAAACTCAAATCAAACCAAATGAATTCCAATTATCAATAAACCGTTAAGCAATTGAGTCAAACTATGTTGTATGGGATGACATATTTTTTAAAAAAATTGGTTAGGAGCTAGCAGGCATCACTAAGCCTCAGACCGGATTGGAAAAAAGGAAGAGGATTTAAAAGAAAAGAAGTGGGATAACTCTAATAGCCAAAGGAACGAGCGGAACCTGCTCATAATCCTTGTCTTTTCGGAGTCGTCGACGACAATTGTTTTTTGAATAGTCGTTGAACTCTTGAATTCATTGTCAGTCGCCATTTTTGTGCCTCTCTTTGATTCTTCTTTATGTGAATGTGATCGAGGAAACTTGAGGCATCCCTTCTTGTTTTCTGGTCGAAATTCAGGCTATAGAGGATTTTTTTTTTTTTTTCCATTTCAAGATAACATGAGTCATGAGAAAATTTATGGACATATCATCTAACTCTCTAGCGGATATGAACAATACCATGACGGATTTTGACATTTTGTTACCGTGCGTCACTGGCGGAGTGGCGGTGGCGTAATCGAGCTAAATCCCAACTCGAGCACTTCTTTTCTTCGACCCGAACAAATGTCGGACAATCCGCTGCAGCATCTCTCCCAGGCCTTCCAGCGCTTCACGCGCTGCGTTCAAACTCAAGTTTCCAATCTGATGCCCCAACCTCAAAGCCATCCGCCTTTCGTATCCGCTTCTTCTTCGTCAGCATCTTCAACAAAAGTGGTTCCATCAAATGTAGATGTCGCCTTCGTCCAGCCCATGGATACGTTCATCAAGGTAATTTTTCATGTTCTATCTTAATCCTGACATGCTAGTGTTGATGTTACGGTCGAATCGCGTTCCGGGTACTCGTTAGAAGTAGTTTCTGAAATCCGGGTTCGGCCCTGATGGCGCTCGTGAGTAATGCACAGCAACTGTTCGACGAAATTTCGCAGTGGGCGTTAGTAGTGTATACTGTATAGTACTCAGTTTTATCGATTTTGCGGAACTGCACAAAATGTAGTTCGTTATTTCTCTTTTTAAGTCTTGGTCGAAGGGAGATGACCAGCAGCAGTTGCAGTGGCGCCCAACTCATTTCCCGTCTGTGTTTACTTCTTTCACCAGTTAGATAATTGATCCGGAACCAGGATTTTCATGTCGCGTCTGGAATACAGGGTTCTCCATCTTTCAAGATGTTCTTTAAAGGCTTCGACTTTGGAATCGATCAGACAAAATATATAGATTTTCGTACATGCAAAATGGGAATCGGGTTTCGTTTTCCAGAAGAAAACGGTTTTGAGTCTCATTCTGAATATCCATTTACTTTGCTGAACTCTTCCTTTTATGCATACCGTATGGAAGCTTTGGAAATGAGCCACCGTGATAGGACATATGCCGCTTTGGTAACTCCATAGGCATAATTAGACAAGGATGTGCTATGACAATTAAGTAAGCCTTAATTAGCACAGATGTTCTTGGTTTTGTGTGGTACCTAGAAAATGGAAACTGTAGAGACAGGAATCTCTAACTATAGTATCATTATTTTCCTCAGAACAAAGCTCCCGTGACTAAAGAAGACCTTGGAAGAGCTACCTGGACTTTTCTTCATACACTTGCTGCTCAGGTATCTCGTACCTACATATTTGGCAACTTATTACTGACACCTGCTCAAATTGCTTACAGAGACATAGTTCTTCCTTGTGTTGCTACTTACTAGTCATTTTTACCAGTTGAAAATGGTTGCTCATTTCATTGTTTTGTTTTTAGTTTCATGGATTGTTGATGCTGTAATTTTGCTGTCATGTAGAATCAACATAGTTTAAATGAAGTTCACTGTGGAGTTGATCTTATAATGATTTTCTTTCACAGTATCCTGAAAATCCAACTCGACAACAAAAGAAGGATGTGAAAGAGCTGGTATGCTTTTCTTTCCCATCTGGATTTATATGTTTCTTCGAAGGAGTAGGACAAGTGTATTGATTGGACACTTAGTTCTGGATCCGCAACTTGTCAATGAATGTTAAACATAATACTGCAGTTGCCTTTCGATCCCCAATCAGATATTAAAAAAAAATAGCGAAAGAGGCATTTTGCTGGTACCTTTTCTCAGATGCAGTAAGTGCAAAACCATAGAGGTACCTTCAATAGAGTAATACCTCCGAAATCTTGTATGCAGATGGCAATATTATCTCGGATGTACCCCTGCAAGGAATGTGCAGATCACTTCAAGGAAGTTCTGAGGTATATTTTTCGTCGTTTTTACAGAATTACTTCCTCTTAGTGTTGCTTTCAGCATTGGGGTTGGTAACATTTCTTCCTGTTCTTCTGTTAGAGTCATACTTCTTATTAAGTCAGAATCATGCTACAATTTCAGCAAGGCCACCCACCCTTATTTAGATGTTCAAGGAAACTGAATGTCTCCTTCCTTTTACTTTTATTTTTGTTGCTTCCCTTTGTTTCTTAGTATCCAGAGGGTGAAAATAATGTGTTAGCAAATATGTTAACTAGAGTTTTTTTTTTTTTTAATCATGGATGGCTGAAATATTTTTACCACCTTCAACAAACAGATCAAATCCTGTACTGGCCGACTCTCAAGGTGACTTCTCCCGGTGGATGTGTCATGTACATAATGTTGTCAACAGAAGGTAAGCAGATCTTCTCAGTGGTGTTTCTTTGATTTACTGGGAGCCTTTTTAAACCCTCAGGAATAAATAGCTCTTCAGCAGATGAATGGAACATCATTGTTGGGATATCATGTGGTGTAGTAGCTAATGATGTCACTTTATCTTGTTTATTTTGAACAACAGCCTTGGTAAGCCAGTTTTCGTTTGTGAGCGTGTTGATGCACGGTGGGGCAAGCTTGACTGCGAGCAAAGGACGTGTGATCTTCACGGGACAACACCACATTTTGGAAGAGACTACTAGCGCACGATTCGTGCTATCATGTGTTCATCAATCCATATCGCCTTGCATAACTTGAAACGTATAGGTATAGCTTCGTAGTTGGTGATGATCGGTCACTAGACTAGTCGGGATCCCATCATCAAATTGATACATATGTAAGTATTGCAGTACATCAGCTACAGCTAGCTTTAGCTACATGGGTCGTCAACTAGAGGATGATTTCTTCGGCAGTCATAATACTGCAGAATGATGAGGGAAACAAGTTTGTTGCCTGAGTAGAAAGATTACACCAAGGTTTATGTCCTGAAAGAAATTAGGTACTTTGCTACTAGCCACATGTAATCATTCGGCCACTGTGTCTGTAATGCATATCCAACACGATTTTCAGAACTGTAGCAGACAAAAGCAAAACCCGACACTCCACATATCAAAAGAAAGGGAAAACAACAGAAGACTTGGCAAGCAAGGTGAAGATCAACTCGTCCCAGAAGAAGTTGTTCACTCTGTGGCAGGAACGCCTCCCGGGATGAATGGAGGAGCCTCGCCGAACTTCAAGATGTAAGCTGTTTCATGCACATGCCTCAGCTGCTCTATTGCCGTTGCATCTAGATACGCTTCACACGCGAAACACCACACCGATAGGTCACTGCATTGTTCGACGCGGTGTAATCGTTAATGCAAACCAGTAGACAGACGGTAGTAAACAAGGAAGTAGTAGTAGCAGCAGCGAGAGTTAAAAACCTGTAGCTGAGAGCCACACAATGGTTGGTCTGCTGCTGGTAGTGTTGCAGCATGTGCTTGTTCACAAAACGGCTGCACAGGACTTCCTTGCAGGACAGGCACAGCCAGTTCTCCTTTGGATGCTCGCACCTAGACAAGATTCCCACAGTGGAAACCAAACCAACTCAAACCCACTAGTCCTATTACAGGGGAATTTCAGACTACGAAAGTGGTGATTCGATCTAGCAGAAACAGAGGTTGAACGAACGCCATAGAAAGGGGGAAGGGGGGGAATTAAGAAGGAAAAGAACCTGGAGCAACAAGAAGCGGGACTGGGAATGTGAGTGAGATCAGGGGAGAGTGAAGCAGCCAAGTGATTGCAGGACTTTCGGGCCTCCACCCAACCCGACTCGGCTCCGTAGTATAGTAGCGCCTGATCATCTTCTTCCCCCTAAAAGATTGCAACCCAGAAAACATAATTGGAAAATAAAGAAGAAAAAGCGCTTTGATTCAGTGGTCTCTGCCCTAGATTTGGTCTCTTCTGCACTTACCGATTGGGCAAACGAAGAAGAAGATGAAGAAGGAACGGACGCGGGTATATCTCGACTCGCCATTATCAGAAGGCTCAGATTGGGAAATGCGACCTTTCCTTTCTTATTAACGGCGCCCGATCAGTGGCTGCACGCTGCTTTGGGATTCAGGCGCGGTTTGTAGAACGAGGGGTAAGATTGGTGTGCTACTGTAGTATACAATTCTTAAGGTATTTATAGTGAGATATTTCTATTAAGACGTTGAATTAAATCGAGGTTTGGGTATAATACTATACCCTAATCTCTAATGGATAAATTCTAGGTTCCGATTATCTAAACTCAAGCCCGAAGTTCACTTAATAGAAAATATTAATTGACCGTTGAGATTGATCGGAGCTTAGAAAATGAGATCTGACGGTCATATCACATGGAGTACGGTATACTCCAAGAGTATACCAGTCATTACCGTAGAACGAGAATCATTATATTCTATATATACAAGGGAAAACAACTTATACCATTTGCAAAATGGTGGACCAAAGTAGATCGCACAATTTGGTCTAAACCGTAGACCATTAAAAATGAACGAGTCTGGTTCATGGCCTATATTATATAATACTTAGGGGTGTTAAAACACAGTGGTTACCATGGTAATCATAGCAACCGGTAGCATTCAGTTGATTTAGTTTGGTTAATATGAATAATTGGTTTGGTTAAAAAATTAGCTTATTTGGTTTAGATGGTTTGGTTTGGTTTCAACACTGCTAACCAGTGACACTAATTAACCAATCAATGATACACCTAATATACAAAATTATTTATACTTCCATGCAACCAACCAAACCAAACTTTCGTGATTTCCTATTTTATTTCCATGTGTACAACAAAGGCATGGTTAACTCGAATGATGATGATAATCATGGATGGTTAGTCTTATTATTATTGCTTATATATAATGATAGTTTATGATAGTGACAATATATGGTTATGTTTCATTCATTAACATGATTATTGTTTTCATGTAATTTTATGTTATTTGGTTAATCCGATTATTCGATTAACCAAACCAATTAAATTTTGATTTACTTAGTTTGGGTTTCGTGTTAATTTGGACGGTTTGGTTAAGACATTTTATGTCATGGTTGATAAAATTTAGGCTTAATTGGTTTGGTAGTTACCACGATAACCATTTGAATACCCCTAATGATACTAGCTTATAACTCGACCTGTTGATCAGAGGTAGCTGAGCCGAATATTGAATTATTGGTATGGATGTAATAATGCTCTTGGCTCATGTATATTATGAGGGGAATAAGTGACGTGAATTTGTTTCGGTATTTAGGATAGCTAAATTTAGCTAAATTTACCATCAATCATTAACCGTTTAACCATCACTTAGTAAATAGCTAAATTTAGCTATCGAGAACCGACCATATTGTTTAATCGATTATCGATAGAACCACTGATCACGATTCTGTTTCGGTTATCGGTTACACTAGATAATTGTTTAGCTCATCTATACAAAGTTGAAATAAGGTTATGTAGTGCTATAGTACATTGGGGTTTGCTACTATACCTAGATCACTTTTCCCTCTCTTCTTTGTTGCTCCTTCTCCAAACGTGACCTAGTTTCTCTTTTTCTCCAATACATCTTCTCTGTTGGTAGAAACTAGAAAGTCCAATCCGTCTCCTGAAGTTCCGCCATTCCAATCTTCGCCGAGAAGGAGCCAATTGGCGGCCGGGGTATCGCATCCTCCCCATCCCCCCATGTCTCGACGAGACCGAGACCGAGATCGCGACCGCGACCGCGGAAGGGAGCGTTACGAGCGCGATTTCAACACCAGACGATACCGCTCCGGCTTCGACAGGGAACCCAGGTACCCATTTCTCTCCCTTCTGCGCAAAGTATGAATCATCTGGAAAACCCCTGGCAGATTTTTCCTGTTCTAATCATTGCTTGAATAAGCTGGAATTGGAATGGCTGATTAGTTCGCAAGATTTTCTGGGTTTATATAATCTGCTACTCCTGGGACGAACTAAGCTGTGGGTCACTCCCATGCAGTTGAAGTTGTTGTATGAGTGTGCTATGTTACTGATTCTTGTAATGGACCTTGGAGCGAACGGTGCGAGAGTAGGATTTAGGTAAATGGCTCCTCAAGTCGAGATTATATAAACATTAACAAATGGATGGAGAAACCTGATTGTCTTAATCAGTGGGCATAAAACTGAAACTTGGGTTCTCTATTCCACTCTCAAGCTTTGCTCTTTCTAGTTTCCAAGAGTGTTAATAACTGCTTTATTTGGTATGGTGCTCTATTCTATTGTTAAGTCTGGAAAGGGGGGATGCCTTAATATTTACTCCTATGAACCAAAAGGAATGGGATCAACCAAAATGTATGTTGTGTCAGTGAGGAGTAGTTACTATTTGTCATCGTTTCTCTATTTGTTTGTTTGGAGATCTAGAATCCGTTTATGCTTACCCTAGTTTCAGCTTTCCAAATTGGTCCCTCAGAGAATGCTGGTTGAATGACTAATCAGATAAAGGAATGCCTAAAGTTAACTTTGAACTTAGCTAGCTCCATACGTTGTTTTGAATACCATGCTGCATTCACTTAAAAGCTCTCAGTAATTATACGGCGGTTGCTTCTTAAGAACCTGGCAGTGCCCATAGTGAACTTCTATGAGGAGCCAGACACAGTGGTTGATGGATTGGCTTGACATATTCTCGCCATTTTCCCCACACCTCATGTATTCATCTATTTACCTGAGGATATCGGAAGCGTAGTTCACTTGGTTTCTTATATAGTAAAATCCATTTTTTCCCCCGACCCTGTAAATTCTTAACATATTGTAAATTTTATCTGAGTTGTCTTCCGGCGAATGTGTCTTATAGTCCCAAGAGGTCTAGGAGGGACGAGAAGCTAGAGACACAGAAAGTGTTTAGCGAACCTAATCCTGAAAGTGGAGATTTGACGCATCATTCTGAAAGCGGTCATGTCAAGACGCAAGATGCAGTAGTACCTCTTGTTTCTGCACCAGGCCCTGATTCTAAGTTGGAATCTGCTGATGATAAGAAAGAACTTGAAAAGAAACCCAATGAGCAGCATCATGCAGATGTTACCCCAAGTACCAATTCAAAGGAAGTGCCTCGATCTCGAACTTATTTCCAGGTTCACCTGAATGTCTCTTCTCTTGGTCTTCTGGAATTCTATTGGAATTGGTTGGTTTTACATGCTTTTTTGGTTATCCTAACCTTTTGCTGTATATCCAACCTGGCCACAAAGTTCATAAGTTCCTTCCCTGTGAAAGTCTTGCCTGAATATATAGTATTTGACCAACTCTGCTGGTTGATTTTTATTACATATTGGCTGCAGAGCGTTTATTTAGCTGTTAGTTTGGTGCTACTTACTTCCATAAAGATATATAAGTTTCTCTCTCTGGAGAGTATTCCTTGGTATCCCATGATTGGGAGAGTAAGCATATGTTTTCTGTGTCTGTTTATTGCCTCAACTTGGCTGCATGCATGATATAAACACAGTGGACTCTGCTAATGAGAATTAAAGAATTGTATCAAGGCGCAAATATCTGGTTTGTAAACTCCACTTGTAATAACGGTTGTTTCTCATTATGGTTATCCTGTTCGCCTGGGTATTTGAAGTTTGAGGAGTCATTATACTATGAAGCTAGCAGTAGATAGTTGCAAGTAATTGCTCAGGTTTGGGCCACAAAATTTTTCTCTGAGTGGCTTTGCAGCTCTAACTTGCCTTATGAGCAGTTGATAAAATAAATTACCTTTTGAAAAACAATCAAACTCAATACGTCTTTGGGTTTTCCTCTTGAGGATTCTGTGGTTCCAGAAGAGAGGTTCTTTAATTTTCGTTTCATTTCAACTTATTAAAAAAAGTCTTCATCTAAAATCAAATGAGATTGGATCTTCCATGATCAGAGACTATTTTGTTAATCATGTGGAGTTGAAGCAGGTCGTGTAAAATATTTCCCAGTGCTCCAAATTGGTCATTTGATTATTGTTATGCTAAATACTCTTGTTATTATTCAGTGTAAACAGACATTTGTTTGGGCTGATTCAGCAGGATTGTTGTTCGTCCCATGCCTTCCAAAGCTCCATCCATGTATATAACAATCTTAGGCTTGCCTGTGGATGTTTTTTAAAAGCAGGATGACCGACGTAATGCTGGGCAAGCTGGCCGAGGCGTTGTTCGTAGATCCTCCACTGGTGAGTTTGCTCTAGCAATTTCTTTCTCCATTGGGTTAACTAATGATGTGTATCTTCTGAGTATAAATGCAGCTATATGGGCTCTGAATATAATGGAAATCAGAATGTTTAAATTTTGTTACACAGGTCTATGGTTAGTGGAAGATTGGCATTCTGTTTGAACTTCAAGTGCTTTTTTGGCGTACATACTGTATATTTTGGTCGTACACAGTATCAAAGAGGTTTTAAAAGAACATATATGTTGTGGAATTTTCCTTGAATCTGATGTCCGATTCTCGTATGTAACCTTGTTTCAGATTGTTACTACACTCCTCCAAGTAGTTGAATGTTAATGGATCATGACTTGGTTGCAGGATGATAGTATCCTGTTTTCTGCTGCTTAAATTTTCAAGCAAGAATCTAATAAGTTCACGTTGTTGCTTTTTTTTAGAGCAAGAACGGAGAGATCCAAAGGACGACAGAAATGAAAGGGACACAAACAGGTCAACAACTAATGATCGAGACCGGAAGTCGGGAGGTGCCAAGGATGACGACAACACCTCCTTGCACCATGATCGTCTCTTTAAAATGGAGGATGAGGCACGCCCAGCTCATATGAGAAGACAGCGACCTGCATTTAGGGAGAAGAAGACACCAGCTGGCTCCGAATATCTAGCAGCGGTACCCATGCACTCAAGCCAGATAGATCGTCGTCCTGTGTCAGGTTTGGAGAGAAGGGACCGCCATGTAGTCGACAGATCGGAGAGGGCAGTAGCTGGAGGACATAGGAGGGGTCTCCCTCCGTCAAGAGACCGGCCTGGTGGTGTTAGAATGAACAATTACAACAAGGGAAGAGAGCAGTTCAATGCAAGACAAAGCAGCCATCCGAATCAGGGCAGTGGAACACGCGTGGAGAAATGGAAGCACGATCTTTTCGACGAGGCTGCTTCTAAAAGCCCTGCCTCAAAGAATGAGGACGAACATATCGCAAGAGTGGAAGAACTGTTAGCTTCATAGAACTTGGAAGGGACTCTGGGAAGTCAGTTCGCTGTTAGGATCTTGGTCTAGTTTGTTGTTCTGCGGTAATAAATATTGTTCTCACTTTCCAAAACATTTGTTAAACTTTGCGACTGGTTTAGCTTTGGATCTTTGTACGAATATTAGTATTTCAAAGCGCAGTTTCAGGTGTGAATATAAATTTTGGGTGTGCCACCTCTAATTAACCCGGTCAAACAATGGTTACCGCAGGAATTAGCTAATATAGTTTGGCGCATTCTCGAGCACCATTAGGTACAAATCCTTAGAAACAAAAAAAAAGTCCAAAAGGTTGGCTAAAGTAATAATCTCTGTTCAAGTTGATTAAGAAACAAGAGTAACCCCAGTAGATTATTCATAAATTAGGTGCCAGTATTTAACGAACTAAACGGAGCCTACTCCTTCCTGTCTCCGCATGCTGCTCCACATTTCCCGTCACCCTATTTGGTCTTTCAGTGCATGTGTATTTCACGAAACCTTCGGATCAAATTAAATATTGAATGATTTTGTGCAAACTCGTGCATCTTTTTGTTAATTGCATCACAAGTGGCAATTGACATTGTTTTGACGTGAATCTCCTGCTCGGAATGACGATTATTAGGCGTGTGCATTGAATGCAAAAAAGTGAGTGCACCAAAACAAAGACAAATTTTTATATATAAGAATTTCAAAAAATTTGGCCAAACCGCTTTTCACCAAATTTGACTAGTTTTGGCAATCACTTCATGTTGGGGATATTTCATCGGTTTGTATCCGGTACAGGTTGAACCCAGTTGTACCGGCCGACATTCCACCGGATTAACAGCCATGATTGTGATCATGAAAAATGGGTGGGACGCGGCCGAAAAATGTTCATATCTGTCGACCCTGCAAGTTTTATGATATATACCGACTTTGACCAATTTTGACTATCACTGCATACTGTGGATATTTCAGCGGTTTGTTCGTTACAGGTTGAACTTGGTTGTACCGACCGGCATACTACTGGTTTGACAAACATGATCGTGATCATGATGAGTTCCCACGAGCTCATCCATCTACGTACCGCTTTCATATTGAGCACATTTAACTTCAAAGTTCTTACAAGAAATCATTCATTTTTACCATAAAATGCAACTAGTCAGTTCATATTAAATTATTTCGTTATGAACCATAAATCTATCTCATGTTTTATCGATCTGCGATTTGAGCAACTTGTTAGATAATTTGAGAACAAAAATAGCCGGAACTCTTTTAAAATGTAAAATCGAGAATAACACGAGACAAACACGAGTTTTACGTGGTATCCCTGACGATTTGTCAGGACTAATCCACGGGAGAGTTGAGCCTCTCCAGCTTTGATCTTATTATGATTATCGACAATTACACACTGGCCGAAAGGCCTACAGGATCATTATATATATTGTTCTCCTTCTGCCCTACGTTTACATGAGTGAAGGAAGATTTCCTTGTCGTGCACGTAGAGGAGAAGTTCGACTGCGCCTGGGCCGTGGGCTGCTGCTCTTCTCGGCCGGGCTGCTGCTCTCCTCGGCCCAATACGCCCCCGCAAGCTGGACGGTGAAGGTCACGAACGTTCAGCTTGGACAGTAAGAAGCGAAAACGATCTGCACCAAGGCCCTTTGTAAAAAGATCAGCCACCTGATGCTCCGAACTGACCTTAAGAGGAACGATATCACCAGAAACCACTCGTTCACGGACAAAATAGCAATCCATCTCAACATGTTTAGTGCGCTCGTGGAAAACAGGATTAGCCGCAATATGAAGTGCAGCTTGGTTATCACAATAAAGACGAGTAGGACGAGACTGAGGAACACCAAGCTCATGTAGTAACCAACGCAGCCAAATCAGTTCACTGACCGTGCTAGCCATGGCACGATATTCAGCTTCTGCAGAAGAACGAGCTACCACCTTTTGGCGTTTAGTGCGCCAAGAAATCGGGGCCGAACCAAGAGAAATATAGAAACCTGTGGTAGATCGCCGGGTGGACTGGCAGCCACCCCAGTCAGCATCACAATGCGCCACCAACTCAAGAGAGTTATTAGTGGGAAAATATAGACCTTGACCCGGAGAGGTCTTGAGATATCTCAAAATACGCATAGCTGCATCCATATGAGCCTGAGTAGGAGCATGAACAAAACGACTCAAAATGTTGACACCATAAGCAATATCGGGACGCGATACTGTCAGATAGAGAAGACGACCAACAAGTCGACGATAAGAAGACCCATCCACAAGAGAGTCTGACGATGGCTTGGTAAGCTGATGATTTTGTTCGACCGGAAAAGCACTCGGTCGAGACCCAAGTACCCCAGCCTCGGAGAGAATGTCCATGACATACTTCCGCTGACTAATGACCATTCCTTGAGGTGCACGCGCTACTTCAAGGCCCAAGAAATAACGAAGTACCCCAAGATCTTTGATGCTGAACTTATGATCCAAAACCTTCTTCACATGGTTGATGAAATCCATGTCGTTACCTGCCAAAATAACGTCATCAACGTATATGAGTGCAGCGACAAAAGTAGAGCCCTTCCTATAAATAAAAAGGGAATGATCGGCAGGTGAGGCACGAAATCCAAGATCACCGAGCGAAACAGTGAACTTCTGATACCAGTTCCGGGATGCCTGTCGCAATCCATAGATAGATTTTTGCAACCGACAGACACGAGAATCTCCTTCAACACCAAAACCGGGAGGAACTTTCATATAAACTTCTTCAGACAAATCCCCATGCAGAAAAGCATTATTGACGTCAAGTTGATGTAGATACCATCCCTGACTGACTGCTACGGCCAACAAACAACGGACCGTGACCAACTTTGCAACGGGTGCAAAGGTATCATGAAAATCTACACCCTCGATCTGGGTATAACCTTTAGCGACCAAACGAGCTTTGTAGCGCTCAACTGTCCCATCAGGATAATATTTAACTTTAAACACCCATTTCGAATCAATACAACGCTTACCTGGAGGGAGGTGCTCTAAACGCCACGTGCCATTGGCCATGAGAGCTGCAATCTCTTTAGCCATGGCCTCTCGCCAGTGAGCGTGACGAACAGCCTCTTGAAAGGTGCGCGGCTCTGGGATCCGATCAACAGAAGCCAGAAAAGCTTGGTAGGCTGGGGTGACGCGCTCATAAGAAACATGATGCGAAATGGGATACCGAACGTGAGACGCCGAGTTGAGGTCAGTCTCATATATATCAAGATGTTTGGGAGGATGCCGCTCCCTATGACTGCGTCGCAATGCAGGCTCGACTGGAGGTGTTGGAGCCGCTGCATGCAAGGGCGGCGACGTGCACGGGCTGTTCCCAGATGGCGTCGCGGGTGATGATTGTGATGAGTGAACCGGGGAGCTGGGTCCAGAAGTGCCGCCGCCATTCTCTACAGGTATGGAATGCATAGGAGGCACATTCATCTCCTGTGGTGACTGCGAATTAAGAGGAGTATGAGAATCACTTGGCGGACTACTATGGTCTTCGCTAAGTTCAATAGCCATAGATGAAGGTAGCCAATGAAAGTCCCGGGGATCCTGCGCGTGAAAAGGGAAATAATCCTCATGAAATACGACATCTCGTGAAACAAGAATCTTCCGTGTCTGTAAGTCATAGAAGCGATATCCCTTTTGTGTAGCCGCATATCCCAAAAAAACACCTGCACGCCCCCGTTCAGCAAATTTGTGAAGTCCCCCATGAGTATCTTTGGCATATAACAAACACCCAAACACTCGAAGATGCGAATAAGTTGCTGGTTTGCCAAAGAGAATCTCGTATGGTGTCTTTCCTGTAGCTGACGTAGGAATGCGATTTATTAAATAAACTGCTGTGAGAACACATTCTCCCCAAAAACGAACCGGGAGTCCCGCATGAAAGCGGAGAGCACGAGCTGTTTCCAAAATGTGGCGATGCTTGCGCTCCACTACCCCATTTTGCTGTGGAGTATCGGTGCAGCTGGTCTGCAATATAATACCGGACTTCTCATAATATTCCCGGAGTGGTGCAGTTGTGAACTCCAACCCATTATCAGCCTGTATGCGTCGGACTTTCAGTCTAAACTGTGTTTGAACCATTTCACAAAACATAGTGATATATCGAGCAACCTCAGATTTGAATTTCAGAAGATATACCCATACACCGCGACTAAAATCATCCACGATAGTCAAGAAATAATGTGCCCCACTGGTGGAAGCTGTCTGATATCCACCCCATATGTCTATATGAATCAACTCAAAACAACAAGACGTTTTAATCGAACTAAGCGGGAAAGGAGTCCTACTCTGCTTAGCACGAAAACAAGAATGACATGGTACTTTGTTCTTTGCTGCCGAATAAGAAACAACAGAACTCAATTGAGATAACTTCCCAGAAGATAAATGTCCAAGACGTGAGTGCCAGACCTCCTCAGTAAACCGATGACTCCCATCTGCAGCTAGGGCTAACCGATCCTGATCACTGAACATCTTCAAGTAATAAAGCCCATCACGGAGAATCCCCCTCCCAATCACGTTCTTCGATTGTAAGTCCTGAAGAATGCACATATCACGGAGGAAAATAATCGCAACATTGTTATCTTTGGTTAGCCTGCTGACTGATAATAAATTGCATTTGAAATCGGGGACATGAAGCACTCGCTCTAGCTTGATCTCAGAATTCAAATTCATAGAACCAATACTCTTGACTGGAACACAATCACCATTCGGAATTTTCACAGGCTGATTTTTATCTGCAGGTGTTCTCGTACTAAACATGAACTCATCTTTAGTGATGTGTTCATTACAGCCCGAATCAATTAACCATTCACGACTATCGAGAAACGTACCTGCCATGTGTGCTACCGGGTCGTCGTTGCACTTAGACGTCCCAAAGAATTTACGCAACTGCTCGAGCTGCGTCATGGTAAAGCCCGAAACTGGACTAACTTCAGTTTCAGCTGCTGCTGCTGCTTTGGGAGGTCGGCCTTCTTGAGGTCGACGCTTGCGTTCAGGTCTCTCTCCCTTATCACTCCCATTACGAGCTGGGTAACCTATTATTTCATAGCAGGTTGCTTTGAAATGACCCACCTTTCCACAGTGTGAGCATATAGGCTTACCATCACTATTTCTTGGCCCAGATGCTCGATCAGCACGCTCACCCTTGTCCGAGCGATCTCCACTCTCATTATAATTCTTGGCTGCAAATGCAGCCGCCTCAGGTGATGGACGACGCTTTTGTGTGAGGAGTCGCTGTTGTTCATCCGTGGCCACAATGCCGTAAGCTTCGTTCAAACTTGGTGATGGCTTCATGGTTAATATTTGACTCCGAACTGTCCCAAAGCTTTCATCCAAGCCCATAAGAAAATCAAGGAGACGTGAAATTTCAGACTTGGATCGAATTCTCCCCTCCAAGTCACATGTACAACTTCCACATGTGCACTTTTCCGGAGGGTCCATTGACTGCATCTCTTCCCATATGGTGCGCAGCCGAGTATAAAAGGTAGATACTGAAAGTTTTTCTTGCCACAATCCGCTGAGCATGCGGCGAAGCTCGTACCCACGAGTGAGGCTACCTTGGCCAAAACGTTGCTTCAAATCGACCCATACCTCTCTTGCCGTTTTCGCATAACGAACACTGCTCCGGACTTCTTTGTCCATGGATATACGTAGCCATCCTTTAACGACCGCATCACAACGACTCCACGCCTTCAACTCGGGATCGGCCGCAGGTCGCGGGATGCTACCATCAACAAAGCCGAACTTATTTTTGACTATTAGGGCATCTGTTACGTCAACAACCCACTCACCATAGTTGGACGAGGTGAGGACTTCAGAAACTGGGAGTTGACCATTGATGTCCGATGGGTGTAGAAAATATTCAGAAGTTACGTCGAATCCTTGATTCATTGAGGACTCGCTTTTAAAACCAGCGCCAGAGGTCTGCGGCTTCTTCGCCGTTTCTTCGTCACTCATGGCGGATGTCAATCACAGAAATCGGAAGTTGAACTGCCTGAACCTAAGCTCTGATGCCATGTAAAATCGAGAATAACACGAGACAAACACGAGTTTTACGTGGTATCCCTGACGATTTGTCAGGACTAATCCACGGGAGAGTTGAGCCTCTCCAGCTTTGATCTTATTATGATTATCGACAATTACACACTGGCCGAAAGGCCTACAGGATCATTATATATATTGTTCTCCTTCTGCCCTACGTTTACATGAGTGAAGGAAGATTTCCTTGTCGTGCACGTAGAGGAGAAGTTCGACTGCGCCTGGGCCGTGGGCTGCTGCTCTTCTCGGCCGGGCTGCTGCTCTCCTCGGCCCAATATAAAAAAACAGCGGAAACTAAGAAACGGGGTTCGGGTTGGGGGAATGGATTTTTTTCCTTTTACGTTTCCGGTGGAGGGTTGCCTATGTTATAACAACGACTTTCTTTTATAGTTTTCCCATTTCCCTTTCAGGAAATATTTAATTCTTAACCATACCTAAAAAAAATTTAATTCTCAGCCAACTGTTCATATGAAACAAAGGGAGGAGAAAAAAAAAATCATTCTCATCAAACAGTAACCTATTTTTCTTTTTTCCAATTAAAATATAAATAACAAAAGCCATACATCGCATAAGCCGTTTGTAAAGCTTCAGTTGCAAGCAACGTTTTGTACGTGCATTTCTTCATGATTGGCAGCCGGAGCCACTACAGTTTGGAGTTTGCTAATTTAACCAAGAGGTAGTTAACTGCTGATCAGGAGCTGGGTGTTTTCAAGTCCGATTATCTCTTAAGTAGCATCAACTCTACTATTGTATCTCTATGCACAAAAACTCCCAAAAGTTAATTTGAAAGATTTCAGATCCATCTCATGTGTGAACCTTAACGGTTATACGAGGTTCTTCCTTCTGTAGTCGGTGGTAACCGGTATGCGTTTATCAAGGGAAGACTCGTTATTGACAATATGTGTTGATGAGACATGAATTAGTCAGCGTTTCAGAGGACAACTCTGTCCTCGCGTTGTGTAATAAAGTGGATCTTATGAAGGTGTTCGATTCGCAAGAAATGTGAAACCCATCTTGAATCTGTTCTGAAGGTTGAAATTGCATTTTTCGTTCTCATGAGTAGTCTCGAATAGTTTCTCCAATGAACTCACCCCACTAACCGGAGAGGATTCCGATGACGAGGCCGCCACTGCTACGTTTGTTTTTTCCTGCCATAGTTATTTCCGAAAAGAACCAGAATAGATACAAAAATATACAAGGTCTACTAAGACCAGGCTAGAAAATTTAAATGCAAAACACAATGGTTGACAAGTTTTACACCATCGCTCCAAGGGCTTGCATTGTCACGATATGGGAAGCCCTTATTATACCTACGGGAAGTGAAATGGAATGTTGTACGAATAAAAGGAGCCCACAACACCTGAATCTCTAGCAGGAGATCTCCACCGAGCGTGTGCGACGAGTCCCTCGCGTTGATCATCCTGATAACCACCTGCACATCCCCACAAAACGAAACATTATTAGTGAAATAGTGAGCCAGACACCATTATAAAAGCTCACGAAGAGCCAGAAGCTTTGCGAGGAAAAGGTCACAGATATCGAGATAAATACTCCAGACTCCAACGACGGAGAACAACCTAATTGCCGAGAGAGCAAAAACACATCACCGATGAATTAAGTATTAAATAGTATCACCGATGGATCACATATTGAATAGTCGCATGACGGTCATTTAAAACAGTCGAAGAATCATCAAACTCGAAAAGCCGTATTTTAGAAAAATAATGGTCTTGATAATTTACAAACCAAACAATAAACCGTTTATATTGAATGGCATATTTTTCTAAACGTTACAAGCAAAACCTGCATCTGTAAAAAAAAGCTCCAATCATACCAAACCCATTTGGGTTTCGAAGCGGTTTGTTTGTACGCAAATAACCTATCTACTTCACCTATAAGTGCTAGCTACTTTAACTCTGAAGCTTTATAGACCCGAAGGAAAGTGTGTTCGAGCTGAGTGATAATTTACCATACTTATTATACACAGTTTTGTATATCTTACGAAAACAACGCCGTCATTAATTCATAGCTGCAGCCTGCAAATATGTCAATTATTGGATTCCAGTGGATACGTTTCTTGGAAAATCAGTTTCCCAGCATCATAAATGGTCACGTTCTTACCACAACCTAATCAAGAAAACGGAACGGACAAGATTCAACGATTTATTGCACATCATCCGGCGACATTCCTCACGGTTAGCCTCGGAAAAAAGTAAAAAAAAAAAAAATAATAATAATAATATGCACGTACGTAGATAAAACAATTGATTAATCGGGAATTCTATGGTGCCGCCACTGTATCGGTGCCGGCAGTGACGTTGGCCGGTTCAAATTAATTAGGTTTGGTTCTCAATGGTTTGGTAAATTTGTTAGGTCTGGATTGGGTAACTAATAAATAAAAAACCAAAGAAAGATTGAAAATAAGAAAAGGGGCGACCATTCCGGTTCCCTTTTATTTGTTTCTTTCTCCTTTCTCTGTGAACGAAGAGTTCCCCTCAGTTGATTCCTGGAACCCAAAGATCTACCGGAGTGGTAATCAGCAACACAAAATAAAAAATGCCGGAATTCTTCAAATTGAAATCGAGGATAGTCTGAAACGCAACCACCATCGTCATCGACGATTCGTTATCCCCGGTCAGTCGGAATCATCGTCGTCCTCAACGCTCTTGCGGTCGCTCGGCCATAATCATTACCACGCGCCTGACCATCGCGGAGATGATGATATCTCGGGGTCAAGGGATTGAGATCAAGGCGAAGAACATGAACCTTATGCTTGAAACGATAAATTCTATCGGCTGTAATGATGTGCACTCTCGCCGCCGACTAATGGAACACAACGACGGGAAGGTATACATTTTTTTGGGGAACTGAACTGTAGTGACGAGCCGCCACAATTGATAGGTTTAACCAAATATAATAGATTGAACCTTGTTTGGTTAAGTAATGGTTACTAATCAATGGCTGTCATCAAAAGCAATAGATCCAGCGGCTAAAAAATAGGCGGCACTAGTGCCGTGCCGGTACTACAGAACTGGCCTTGATTAATACGAGAGAAATTTTTTTTAAAGAATAAAGTCCGCCAGAAGTTCGGCGCGGTTTGGCTTCATGATTTGATTGCTACAGTCGTGTTATATAGCAATTACCATGCACACTTCGTCTCTATAAATACCCATTTCCCACCCGCTCTTCATCTTCACCGTCCACAAACCGATTCAACTTCCTCCTTCCCCCCCTTCAATAACTACCAAAAAACAACAATGGCGGCCTCCTTCCCTCTCCTCTCCGTTCTGATCACATTCATCACCACTTACTTAGCCACATCAGCTTCCCCGGCCGCCGCGGTGGCCGCCCAGTACAGCGTCACCAGCTACGGCGCCAGGCCCGACGGCAGGACCGACTCCACCAGGGCTTTCCTCGCCGCCTGGAACAAAGCCTGCAGCTCCCCGTCTCCGGCCACCATCTACGTCCCCGCCGGAACGTTCTACCTCAAGAACGTCGCCTTCCAGGGCCCATGCAAGTCCACCTCCATCGCGTTCCTCGTCGACGGCACCCTCCTCGCCCCGTCCGATTACGGAGTAATCGGACCCGTCGGGAACTGGATCATGTTCCATGCCGTCGATGGTGTCACCGTCTCCGGTGGCACCCTCGACGGCCAGGGCAAGGGCCTCTGGGCCTGTAAGGCCTCCGGAAAGTCCTGCCCTCAGGGCGCCACGGTACGTATTACGTAACGTGACAATAGTCTCGAACGTATGCATCAAAATTTTTTTATCACTACGAGAAATAACACTTTTTTTCTACTGATAAATTTTTCGCAAAAAGACCAAGTTATTCAATTTTTTTTGGTAATTAATCTCAAGTAGATTTTTTCCCATATATATAAAATTTGTGCCCGTGTCAATGTGTGTTGTAGACCTTGGAATTCAGCAATTCGAAGAACATACAGATCAACGGCGTAGCATCACTGAACAGCCAGCTGTTCCACATCGTGATCAACGGCTGCCAGAACGTGAAGGTACAGGGCGTACGTGTGACGGCCGCAGGGGATAGCCCCAACACGGACGGGATCCACGTGCAGGAATCCAACGGCATGACGATCCTCAACTCGCGGATCGGGACGGGTGACGACTGCATATCCATTGGGCCTGGGGCGACCAACCTGTGGATCGAGGGCGTCTCTTGTGGGCCGGGCCACGGGATCAGCATCGGCAGCCTGGGTAAAGAATTCCACGAGGCCGGGGTCCAGAACGTGACCGTCAGGACCGTCACGTTCACGGGGACGGAGAACGGCGTCAGGATCAAGTCGTGGGGCAGGCCCAGCACCGGGTTCGCGAGAAACGTGCTGTTCCAGCACGCCGTTATGAATAACGTCCAGAACCCGATCGTGATTGACCAGAACTACTGCCCGGGGGAGAAGAACTGCCCCGGTCAGGATTCCGGGGTTAAAGTGAGCGACGTTACGTACCAGGACATTCACGGGTCGTCGCAGACGGAGGTCGCCGTTAAGTTCACGTGCAGTAAGGCGAGCCCTTGTACTGGGATCAGGATGGAGGATGTGAAGCTTAGCTACAAGAATAAGGTGGCCGGATCGTCGTGTCAGAACGCCGACGGGACGGCTTCCGGCGTCGTTCAGCCAGGGAGCTGCTTGTAGAGAGTGGAGGCAGGCGAGCATGGACACATGGGAAAAAGTTGACGGGCGGCTGAAGATTATTCATATATTTATATATACATATATATAGGTTTATACTCTATACAACAAAATATATATACTTGCAAAGGGGAAGGATAATTTTCCATATATAGTTATACTTTACACAAAGTTATGGTTTGTAATAATATAAGTTATTATTGATTATATGAGAGGTAATTGGGATGTTATAGATTGGTACTGGTTTAGAAGTGTGAGTTCACGTGTTTGACCTATTTCGAGGCTAGTTGTGATGTTTTTCGAAGACACTAAAATAGGATCTTAGTGGATGGCCTAAACGACTCAAGCAGGTGAGCCCGCATATTTGATCTCACTCCGCCATCACTCAAGCTGTGTGTGCGCTGGGATATTCATGGGTTATATAAAAAAGTAAAAATTGGTGTCGGTCGGCTGACTTAGAGTATGACTTTTTTTTTATCTGTTATGTGAGATTCATTTATGAGATTAAATTTTTTTCTGTTTATTCGTTTTTTCTTGAATCAAAACTTATCTACATCATAAGGGAAAGGTGGTAAAAATACCTCACCAGCCAATAGTTACAACAAGGAGCAAAGTATCATACAATAGTTATGGTCATGGCCTACCAAGGTATCCTAGAGGACAAATCCAAGCCATCTCAATGGTCATCAATGCACTTGACTATAGTGTGAACAGTTGTATCTTATTATTACTGACGTAGGGTTTATATAGAGTATAATGACAGACTTCTAATAACCCTAACACTAATATGAAAATTATCTAAATTCTATGACTCTAATAAGAAATACAACTATGAGTGTCCGTCCAAATACATATTGCAAGGTAAAATAAATTTTCTTTTCCTAATGATTTGTTTGATTTTGATTTGTGGATCGAACAGATTGTTCATGTTATACTCGTCAGGGTGTGCCTAGTATGAAACGTAGTGTACCGCACATGGGTGGTAGGGACCATAGTCCGTGTTCTAGACCACAAACCGTATATATGACCCGGTTTGCTCTATACCACAGCTTTTCCAACCCCTAGATTAGCTGTGAATCGATCTCTTACTCAGATTATTGTGACAACAAATCTACGTACAAACTTGCAGCCCTTTGTTGGATCCAGATCTCTATGATTCCATCTGGTCAAATTCTTTTTCAATCTCTCTAAGTCTACCTGAAGTTGAATTTCAGCGAGCTCCTCGCAACCCTATTTATTTGCAGAGGAATTGATATGTTCGCTATTACTATCATTCATAGTGACTTGCATAACTCAAAATATCCACAATATTGACATATATTGTTCATAACGAAATAAACAGTGGTACACTTACAAGAGATGCAGAGGTTAGAGTGCCAATACCCTATTTGCAAGTATGGTGCTAACACTAATTTTCGCCAATAGAAGTATTTTCTTTTGATGATTTTTTCAATTCCAATGGACTGACCAAAATTAATACGGATTTATAAAGGGGCACACTTGTCATTATTAGAAATGAAGGGGACACACATGTGTGTCGACATTGGGCATTAGTTTTGCCTCACCACAAGTATATATCATGAAGCATACCATAAAACACATATCACAAACTCAACAAACCACACCAAAAATACCAGAAAACTTATAAAGCATAAACTAACATTACTACTCCACAAAATTCATAAGCATACCAAAAACTTCAAACCAGGCCACAAGTTCCCTGATGCATATACCAAAAACCTCATAAAGCATACCTCAAGGTACTTGAAGGAGACTACAAGTTTCTTAAAACATACCACAAGTTCCTTGAAGCGCACCAGAAACCTCATAAAACATACCACAAGTTTCTTAAAGCACATGACAAGTTTATTAAAACGTATCACAAGTTCCCTGAAGCAGACCAAAAACTTCATAAAGCATACAAGTTCCCGAGTGCATACCTGAAAGTAGGGGTGATAATCGGTTCGGTTGCGGTTAAACCGAACCGACGGGTCGGTTAGTCGACACCTATTAGAGGTCAAAACAGGCAACCGCAACCGCAACCGATTGTCCAATCGGTTAGCCGAAACCGCTAACCGTCGGTGTCGGTTCGGTTGGTCGGTTGACTATCAACCGGAAATTAATTGAAAAAAAAAATAAAAATTCCAAAAAAATATAAAAGATTAATTCCAATCCTCTAGCATTCTCGATCCTTCTTCTCCCCATCTCATTCTCTGTTACCCTATCCTCTCTCCAAAAGAAAACCCCTCTCTCTAACCTCTCCAAAAGAAAAAGACTTCTGTTGGAGGACAGCGGCGAGCCGGCGACGCGAAGGCTGGGAGCGGCGGGAGGGCGGCGATGCGACGCGACGAAGGCTGGGAGCGGCGGGATGGCGGCGATGCGACGCGACGAAGGCTGGGAGCGGCGGGATGGCGGCGATGCGACGCGACGAAGGCTGGGAGCGGCGAGAGGGCGGCGATGGACGCGACGAAGGCTGGGAGCGAGAGGATTGAGGAAGGCGCTGCGACGGCCGATGGCCGACGAGCTCGACGGGGACGAGGCTACTGGCGGCGGCCGGCGAGGGGAGGGGCTAGGGTTCTGAAATGGGGAGGGGCGGCGGGTGTGAGAGGGGACTGGGGAGACTCTCGATTTTGCGATTTAGGATTTTAGGTTTAGCCGTTTAGGGCAGGGGAGGAGGTAAGGAGAGGCTGTCTGTCCGCGTGCGTCGGTTTTCTCGGTTTTGTTCGGTTAATTTGTGCGGTTGCGGTTTTTAACCGCTAACCGCGATAATTGCCCACTGGCCAGAAACGTCCAACCGCCACCGCAAACCGCAATAAACCGACGGTTTTCGGTTGGTCAATAAACCGACGGTTTCGGTTCGGTTTCGGTGGTAACCGACAAACCGGAGACCGATTAACAGCCCTACCTGAAAGGCAAAAACCTTATAAAGCATGCAACAAGTTTCTTAAAGCAGAACATAAATCGCATGAACTTTGACATGTTTGTAAATCTTAAAAATTTTAGGTATCAAAATAAAAGATATAAAATTTTAGGTACTACTATGTAATTTTTCATCAATATTTTTACAACTTATATGAAAAAAAATGATACTAAATCTTAAAATATATTTAGTTTATGTATTGAAATGTAATTTGCAAATGAAACCGCATCAATGAGAATATGGGACGTATATAACAGAGCTTAATACTCTTATAATTAGTGTTAGTGTTAGTAGAGTGATAAGAGCTAGTAGCACCCTGTCCAATCTCTAGAAGAAGTCATAATAACCCCCAATTAATTAATTGGTTACTCTCTTTTGATCTTATTTTTCACAAAATATATGGGTGCCTTGGGATGATGCTGTGATCATGGATTAAATAACGGTAAACAAGGCTTATTTTCAGGGTCATGTGGGCTAGATCAGTACGTAACTTCCTCTAATTCTGTTACCTGTTGTGGGGAATATTTTGTTTCATTTCTTTACTAACAGTATAGCAAAGCCATGAGATTGATGTATGTACGGGCTCGTGTATAACTAATATATTATGTAGTGAATAATATATTATGTGGTGACGTCTATCGTATATCATATAAAAGTCGGTGTATATCGTACACCAGACAATCTCCACAATACGCATTCATGTCGACGATTAGCATAATTGTAGGCTCTTTTTTTGCACTCTAGACATTATGCTATAGTCTAACTTTTGATGGATACACTTTAGACTATAATTCTCTAAATCCAAACCATAAAGTCAGTTAAGTAGAAAATAATAACCAATACTTCCGAACATCGAAGTGCATCAAATTAATTTTCATTTAATAGCGCAAACACATATTATAGGTCGTAAGTACACTATATTCGTAATTTATATTAGGGTGCATTTGGATACGGGGATTTAAATTTGGTATTTTTAAAAAAATTACAATTGTAATATGTGGCTAGAAAAATCAAATTAAAAAATCCATAAAATGATAAAATACCAACAAGTTGGAAATGAATTGTAACACCTCAGGCGAATCCCATATCGGCAAAGTATAGGAGAGATCCATAGTTCATAAGTAAGAAATGGACCATAACTGACAAGACGCGTTTTGGGGGTGAAATGGAGAGTTCTTGTGAGAAATCCAAAGTTAAACATGCTCAGTGTAGAGTACAACAATGATGAGTGACCATATGGGAAGTCACCTTGAATTGCACCTCAAGTCGAAAACCTTTAGAGGATCGAGACCCAAAACGGACAATATTTTCGTCGAAAAAAGGTTCGGGTTGTTACATGAATACCCAAAAAATAAATATGAATTACATGTATTTCAAATGCAAACATCTAAAATTCATGTATTTCAAATGCACTTACCGAAACCCACTCTTATATATTTATATGTTATGCAAAATCCAACAAATTCTTTATACAAAGATATAATTCTCATAATTCGGGATGCAACATAATATATTTTTTCTGCTTGGGAACATTTTGGTACATAGGAGACTTCTATTCTATGCTTACATTCACCATGTTGTTGCACATGGGGCTTAGGTTCTTACGGTGGGTGAAAGTTGACTTTCTTCGAAATCGACCACACTAGTTTTCATTTAGCTATTTACTGTGGAGGAAATTAGATGAGAAATAATGCTGTTCCAAAACAAAAAAGTCGCTCGATAGGCGCCTCAATCTTGCCCAAAAGTAATGCAACCAAGCTTGACCAAAAAAAGCTTATTGATTAACGTCAAGTCAACAAATAATTGTGCTCGATCTCATTCGTCGGGGAGAAAAAAGAAAGAAGAAATAATTATGTTATCTAAGTACAGTCTTAATTCAATGACGAAAACTAGATCTAGTAATGCACATGGGATCGTGCTATATATCTCAAATGTATCGGCCCATCTCTAACATGCATCATAAGTACGTAATACTAATTAACTTAGGTAATGAAATGAAATTCCTAATGGTCCTATAATGATATTACACGTGTTTAGAAAAGTTAATATTTTTTTCTCAAAATATTAGGGGTGTTGAAATGGTTACAATGGTAATTACCAAACCAAATAAGGCTAAGTTTTATTACCCATGCAATACAATATCATAACCTATCGTCCAAACTAATACAACACGGAATTAAATTTTAATTAGTTTGGTTAATTGGTTAACCAAATTAACCAATATAACATCATATTTATCATTAAGTGAGAAATTTTTTTCAATTAATTCATCAATTTGCAATTTATATAATGAATAAAACATAACAAGCAACACAAAGCTATAGTTGACCCTCAACATAAATATATGCAACTAATACAATTATTTTACAGTCAATAGAATTTTTCACATAACAAAAATATATGTCGATGGTATGAGGTTAATGAATTGTTTTGTTTGTATGAATTGGCATAATTAGTCTCCTAGCAATTATCATAGGCTAAAAAGAC